GATCCTACCCCGATTGAATTTTCGTTAAGGTGATTGAATATTCGGTAAGATGTTTATTGCTTAAGGTGATGTGGAAAAGCAGATTTTTCACGCTTTATAGGTGCGCAGAAAAGCAATTTTTGTCATTAAAAACAACGAATCCACATTTCTTTTAAATTTATTATGAAAGTCAAAGATTAATCTTAGTAAATTATGTCGGCCAAAACACGATTGACACATTTTGGCTCGATAGAAAAAGATCGCAGTTTCCTCAAAATCAACAAATTTAGGTACGTCCACTAAGTGTAAAAGCTGTTTCATTCGAATGTTATGAAATCAATTTCAGTTAAATTCAGGCTATGTGTTCACCAATAAATACGTAAGTGAATAATGGGTTTATTTTTCAATAAAAGAGTATATATCATTTTAAAAAGATATATCAAATAAATATCGTATCTACTATTAAATAGCACGTGGGCCAACCAAACAGCCGCCAGTCGCACCTATAAAGCGTGAAAAATCTGCTTTTGGCGTCAACTTCACCTTAACACTGAAATTATTTTTGTCAAGCCAAATATCCTATTGTCCAGCTATTTTAGAATTATGATATACTGTAAAAGAAACTGAATAAATGTCTTTCTTTTTGTGATTTGGATATTGGAAACACTTCTAACACACTAGTTTCTGAATATTGAGATATAACCAGCTGGTAACCGGGACAATGCAGCCCCAGAAGAAATTTCAAATTTGGAAGGATTATATTACTTAATTGGGAATCAATACATTCATTGAAGTTGATTGACTTCAAAATAAATTTGTTGGAACAATACGCGCGCCGCCTACTGTAAGTCAATTGTACGATGTCTATAACGGTAAAGCAGCTTATAAAATACGAACAAACAAATTTAATTTTTTATATTTCATAGATATTTAAATATCTTCCTTGCTACCGTGCATTGATTTTGGTTTCTCAATCTGGCAACAGTAAATTTAATCTAAAATAGGTAGCGCCGAACAGTAGTTAATAAATCCATTATTATCCATCATTAAAACCTATAAAGTCCACAGCTGAACATAGGCCTCCGCCATAGATCGCCTCATAGTGTGGATTTTACCATAGTTAAGACGCTTGGCGAGCGGGTTGTCAACCGCAGTTTTATATTATTTTGAGTCGTTATCAGAAAGATGTTGCTGCTCATCACCTGTGCCAATTTTCCTCTTTTGTTTATAGAATAAGGGTACACACAGAGCATACAGTCCACCTGATGTTATGGGAATTATTAAGTATTGGAGCGTATGTGAAGTGCTGTGGCCTATAGACATCTACATTTATCCTCGATTAGAAATCAAAATGCAGATGCGTTGCCACTCCTGAGGACCAAAATGGAATGCCCTGTTTCCTGTAGAAAGGGTCTACGGTTCTCTACACTCACCATACGAAACATAGCAGCAAAGAGCTGCTATTTTTCTCTGGTATTCTGTACACCCTCTGTCACCTCTTACGACACCCACGAGACGATATGGGGCAGTCGATATTCTTACACCACCTCTACACATTGGAGCTAATAAATAACCTAATTTTAAATTCAGGCTCTTTTTGTGTTTTTTTTTTCGTATGTGGATTAAATTGTGACATATCACTTCGTACCGTTATCGCAAAGCAAACATACAAACAAATAATCGGACAGACGACCTCAGCACGTTATAAATAGTCACGGTTTATTAGTGGAGCCCTTGGAGATGTTAGCTGTACTGATAATGAAAAAACCATATGTGACACACCGAGAGACGGGTGTTGGTGATGCAACAGCATTTTGTGAATACTGTTAGGACTACATGATCTATACCTAACCTGAATCTGAATGAAACCTGTTTGAATGTCCATGTAAAATTAATGTATGTAAAACGCCTTTCGAAGACGACAATAGACATGCATTTCTTCAGCAACTTATACTGATACAGTTTTGATACAGAAAATAGAAATGGTACATAAAACATCAAAGATGAAAATAAGTAAGAGAAAACAGACGTAAAATGATCTCATCGCAAGTGACGTGATGCTGAAATTATGGTTGTATCACGAATGGATCGGCTCGACCGGGGAAGGACCACGCACTCATAGAAAACTAGCGTAAAATAGCAGCTTAATATTGCCGTGTTTCGTATGTTAAGTGTAGAGAACCGGAGACCTCCCCCCGAAACAAGGCGTTACATCTTAGACCTCAGGGTGATAACTTATAACGCATCTGCATTTTTGAATGTAGATGTCTTTGAGCCTGTGCATCCACTTACCATCAGGTAGACCGTGTGGTTGTCAGTCACCCATACTCTATAAAAAATACGCCAGTTATAAAATACCGATCCTGCATAACCCATTTTAATCCCTAACAGTCTATCAAAAATCCACTGCAGAACATTGGCCTCCTCCATGATTTTTTTTATTGTACCTATAAGGGTTACAATCTTGTACACAGTCCACCTAATCCTACGTGATTCCTGCGGCGCATAGAAATCTACATTTATCCTCGATTAAGAATCAAAATGCAGATTCGTTGTCGCCCCTCAGGACTAAAATGGAATGCCTCCTATCCAGTAAATTATACGTGGTAGAGCCATGCTGCAGTTATATTAGTAGTTGTAGCACGAATAGGTCGGCTCGACCGGGGAAGGACCACGCTCTCACAGAATACCAGCGTGAAATAGTAGCTTAATGATGCTGTGTTTGTGATGGTGAATGTAGAGAAGCGGAGACCCTTTTTACTGGAAAAGAGGCATTCCATCTTAGTCCTCACGAGTGACAACGCATCTGCATTTTGATTTGTAATTGAGGATGGGTGTAGATATCTATGGGCCGCAGCAACCACTTACAATCAGTAATACTGTGTGCTTGTTTGTCACCCTATCCTATAGAATAAATAAATAAATAGATAGGGTCTCTGGTTCTCTACACTCACCATACGAAATATTTTACGAAGATATTCAGAGTACAACGTGTTATAGGGTTTTGCCGCAGAGGGGTTTTTTGCCATAGGACCCACGCTTGGCAAGCGAGTTGGCAACGGCAGTCTTTTATTTTTTAGTCGTTTAGAAAGACGCTGCAGCCCATTTCCTGTTTTAGTTTCGCTCTGCCGCCACTTACGACACCCACGGGACGCTATGGGGTAGTGGATATTTTTACACAACATTTACACAGTCAATCACGATTATTAATAGCACAGAATATATTCTCGTTAAAAGCTAAGTGTGCCATAATCTCAACGACTGAAATAGAACTTCGCGGATTATAATAAGCCTTATGTTAACAGGAAAAGATGACAATACTCTATTTCCGTTCGCGTTATCGCATATCTACGGTCACAACTGCACGTAATGTTTCTGTATCTGCACTATTGTTTGAAAACAAGGTACTAAAATCGAAAAATCTAGATTTAAATTAAAAAGTTATATCGATAATAATTGTTTAGCTACAGGGTATTTAACAAAACAGAAAGGACCACTCCTTTTGCTTGGATAGTTTAGTAGATGGATTGTCGATCGATTTGTGTGGTAGCTTTAGCTGATCGACGAATACTCATCATCAGAATCTTTCAAAATATATTGCAATAATCAATGAGCTCGATCAATGTCGACTAATCCATTCTACCATCGATATATCGGTGAAAACGCCGATCGACGTCGATTTATCCATACCACCATCGATAGATCCTACCGATTGGTGTGGTAACACCCGAGTTACAAGCATTACGGACTGGGTCAGGTCGAGTTGTTATTTTTAATCTTAGTTGCATTAGAAGATAATGAAAACTAATATAGACCACGATTTCCATCAAGTCTTTAAGGAAGGGGAAACACCAACTTTTACAAAAAAACGTCTCGAAGTACACAGGAACTGCACTATCTAGTTTTTCCATTCTCATTTGCAATCGAACAACCCGACGGGTGGTTGGGTTTCGTCTTTGAGTACTTGACGTGTCCCGGAGCAGTTCAAAGCTTTTCTTTACATCGTTTTGGTGTTTGCTATTCGACATCGTGTTTGGGATTGGAATTCTTCATTTGCATGTGTCTTACGTGACTGCCACAATTTAGGACCCTACCATTACCGTTACCGTTTATAACCCATAAAAAGTCCAATACTGAACATAGGTCTTCCCCATAGATTAGCGTAGACGTAAGTTGTCTGCACAACGGTACGGTTGTGACAGTCGTCATATTAGCGCATCTGTAAGGAATGCCGGGAGGGTGCAAGGGGAGATAGGAGCAGTGTGCCCGTCTGAATGTGTATCACATATGGCGTCATTTATATTCGATACATTTTAATAATTGTTGTTGTATGTGTCCAGATATAGTAATGAGAGAACATTAGTAGTTATATAGCTGTAATTACTTTGTACATAAGTTATGTTGTATTGTCATGGCAATTATTTTTTCGCGAAGGCGTGCATTGGATACTGTTGTGACATATTTTCAAGGTGCAATTGTGACAAAATAAAAATTTTGTTTTTGCTTTTTGATACCTAGGAAACGTATGAGAAAGATCGAAAGAGAGTAGTATGATAAAACACAATATGAAGTTGTTTATAAAGAAGTGAAATGCGGAACCTCGTTACGGAGAGCTGCGGAAATGCATGAAATTAATCGCATGTCTTTGTTGCGATACATTCATAAACGTGATGGAGCCGACGCGCGAAACAATAAAGACAGCGTCAGCATAGGGTACGTCGCTCATAATAAAGTGTTCTCTGAGAAGCAAGAACATAAACTGTCAAGATATATAAATCGTTGCGTAGAAAATTATTTTGGCCTTTCTCCGAAAGAGGTACGGAAATTAGCTTTTGAGCTTGCCACTAAATACAATCTGAATCAACCTGCTTCTTGGGCTGAGAATGAGATGGCTGGTGAGGAATGGTTTCGTTCATTCATTAAATCCATCACTCTCTGTTCGCAAAGCTCAAGCTACTAGCCTTTCAAGTCAAAGTGAATGTCAAAGCTTATTATGACAATTTGCAAATTGTTATGGGTAGACACACTTATGAGAACGTTGAAGAAACAGGCGTCACAACCGTCCGAAGACCTGATAAGGTAGTAGCAAGACGTTGCATGCGGCAAGTGGCAAGAGGCACATTAGAAGAAAAGAGCTTACTCCTTTCTAAAGGACCTTTCTAAAAGGCCGGCAATGCACCTGCAGTTCCTCTGGTGTTGCGGTAGTCACTTAACATCAAGTGAACCGTATGCTCATTTGCCCCCTCTTCTATAAAAAAATTAGTCATGGTCGCTTATGCAGTAAATTTCTTGGGCAATACTATCCCTTTTTTTACTAGTAATTCCATGGGTTCGTTATCACGATCATTTTATTAGGGACGGACCAGTAGGGTCAATTGCGACTGCAAATCCTTATGGCTGGAAGCAAGATGAAACGTACCTAGTATTTCTCGAATATTTTAAGAAGTTTTCTAATGCTTCCCCAACGCATAGTTCTTGCTCGTGCTGGAAAATTACTCCTCGCATATCCATATTAACACATTGGATTTTTGTAAAGAAAACGGAATCACTTTGTTTACATTTCCTCTACACTGCTCGCATAAACTGCAGCCGTTAGACCCTCCAAAAACGCAATAAACACTGCTTGCGATGCAATTTGCAATATGCAATTTGATGCAATTTACGATATACCAGGAGTGTTAAAAACTGCTTTGCCTCTGGCTTTCATACAAAACTGGTATTTATCCGTATAATCGTAATCTGTTCCAAGAAATCGACTTGCACCGTCTATTATAACGGACAGACCAAATCCTAAAACTGAAGAGAATAGTCCCGCAGTACAATCTCTTGTAACGGACAGAGCAAACTCCGACATTGGAGAGGCTTATCCCGGAGAAACATCTTTTGTAACGAACAGACCAAATCCTGACGCTGAAGTAAACATTTGTGCAGCTAACAATGAAATACCATCGACACAAGAACTTGATTTTTCAGCTTCCTTTGAAACAGCCAATCCAAACCCTGACGATGGAAAGAACAATCCAAGATCGATCGATGAAATCCCCCAACATTCAACTTCCTTATTGGACGAATCTGCAACTCCAATCAAAGCAATTTTCAACTAACTGTATTTCATTATTCAATCTTTTCCAAAGGCTCCCGAAAAAGAAAAACAAAAGGTTCCAGAACAAAAAAAATCGACCATATATACAGACACGCCTGAAAAAGAGGCAGTAAGGCAAGAATATAAATTAAAAGAGAGACGGTTGAAGGCTAAGCAGCTAAAATAATCTTAATGAACCAAAAAGAAAAAACAAAGGAAAAAGGAAGCACGTGATGTCTTCATCGTCATCGGACGAAGAAGTGTATTTCTGCATAATTTTTGTGGGCGCATATTCTGAAATTAAGGCTGGTGAGAAATCGATCAAATGCCAAGGCAAATGTGAGCTCTGGTCTCACTTATAGTGCGCAGGTGGTTGTCGCCATTATATCTGTCATAACTGTAATGAGTCTGACTAGGTAGCGGTATCTTATTTTTTCATTTTTATAACTAAGAACGAACTTTAGATGCCTTCTATTTTTCACGTTGATTCTTACCCAAATGTTTAATTTTTTTGAAGAAGAGGTTTTGAGTTAACATTTACTTTGTATTTTAACACCAGATACTGCAATATGTGCAATATGCTAAGGTGTTAATTGAAAGAGTTATGAAAGAAACTGATGGAAAAATTTGGGATGTGCAAGCGGGTTTTAGAAAGGGAATGGGGTGTACAGATCAAGTCTTTTCCATGCGCATGATTGCGGAGAAGTTTTTGGCCAAAAACCAGAAAGTTTTTTGTGCGTTCATGGACTTGGAAAAGGCTTATGACAGAGTGGACAGGAATGTGTTATGGCAAACACTGAACTCATATGGGTTGAGCGCTGGTTTGATACAGGCATTAAGGTCTCTTTATAGGGACTCTAGTGCCTGTGTCAGGATCAATGGGGTCTACTCGGACTGGTTTGGCATCCAAAAAGGTGTCAGACAGGGCTGTGTGGCTTCCCCTTGGCTGTTCAACCTATTTATGGACCGGTGTTTGCAAACTTTGAAAGATGAAGAATGTGGGTTAAGAATGGGCGAGTTAACCGTCAAATGCCTTTTGTATGCCGATGATCAAGTCATACTTGCGTCATCGGCGGCAGAGTTGCAAATGATGGTTACATTAATGAACTGGGAATTAAAAGAAAGGGGAATGAAAGTGAACGCAAGTAAGACGAAAGTGATGGTTTTTGAAAGAGAAGAAAGCAAAACGGTATGTGAAATAAGAATAGAAGGAGAGTTGATTGAGCAAGTGGATGAGTTTGTGTATTTGGGATGTGTATTTAGCAGGGATGGTAGATATGATAGGGATATAGAACGACGAGTAAATGCAGGGAATAGAGTGAATGGGGCACTACACTCTATTATGAAGAACCAGAATTTGTCAAAACAGACACGTATGGTAATTCATAATGCTGTGTTAGTCCCTACTTTAATGTATGGTAGTGAAAGCTGGGTGTGGCAGAAGAAGCACGAAAGTAGAATAAATACTGTAGAAATGCGGTCTTTAAGGAATATGCTAGGGTGTAATCTGAATGACAGGGTGAGAAATTGCGTGATAAGAGATAAATGTGGTATGCAAGATGATGTTGTGACCAGGATTAAGAAAGGGATGCTTCGGTGGTTTGGTCACGTAGAAAGAATGAATGAGGAAAGAGTGACAAAACAAATTTATATGGCAGATGTGAATGGCCAAGTCGGGAAGGGACGCCCTAGGAAAAAGTTTATCGACCAAATCGGCGATATTTTGAAAATGGGCCCCGTTAGAAGTACCCTTAACCGACGAGCATGTATGCGTAGATATATGGATGTAAAGGAGGCGAAAGAGGTATGTCAGGATCGTGCCAAATGGAAGTCCGTAGTCTCTGCCTACCCCTCTGGGTGACAGGCGTGAGTGTTATATATATATATATTATATTATATATATACTGCAGTAAATTAGAAATGCTTAATTAACTTTTTTGACTGATTGTAATATGAATACTGTTATAATAGATCTGTTTTGTAGTTATACCGATTATGATGTAATTAAAGACTGTTATAGTACTCGTAACTGTAGACTCTACAGTAACATAGTTGTTTTAAGCCATAAAAGTGTTCTTAGACTTTATTTCCTTTGTTTCGTTAATGTAAATTTTTTCCATAAGAACATTTATGTTGCCTTATGTAAGATATTATTTGCAATATAAGTGATTTTTGATCTTTTTTGTGAATTTTGGAATCTGTCACTACCGACCCTAAGCACTTTTCCTTTTTTTCTGATTTACTCGTGTGAGTAAACCATTGACCATTGTACTTAGATGCAAAAAATTTGTATTTTTCCGTAGATAAATATATACATAACCATAAAAGACATCTTTCTTCCAGTTAGCATACTAACAAAATTATCGGCGATCCATTAAAAATAGTCACAACCATACCCAGTCTACCCTACGTCATAGGGTAGGCTTATTGCCGTAGTTAGCAAATATCTCCCCTATGAGTAAAATAGCAGCTTAATACTACTTGCTAATATTTCGTATGGTGAGAGTCCGGAGGTCAATTTGTATTAGAAACTACTGCCTAGTTTCATCGTAGTTCTCAGGGGCGACAACGCATCTGCCTTTTGATTCTTAATCGAGGATAAATGTAGATGTTTATGGGATGTTTATAGTTTATGGTAATACTGAATGAAGATTTTGTCAATTTTTCAATTCGTTCGGGCACAGCTATATCGTTTAAATTTTTTTAATTCCTTGCAGCTTGCACTTTTGAATAGAAGTTTTACTTAGGCCTTAAATAATAATTACAATACTGTAGTAGTCTTATCAAAAACCTCTTTGAACCGATTATCTCATATCGCAACAAGACTGAATAGCCTGTTTGCTTGTGTCTAGTGCGCTGAAGTAATTAACAAGATTAATAGATCGCAGTACCGGACCACTTTGTTACTGGTTGCATGTTGTTTAGAGCCGTCTGTTGGCTCGACTCGATATTTATTTACTTGAAAAATAAGATCCCCATGTCATATTTCCTTAATTTTGCATTTATCGCCATAATGCCAGCGAAAAGAAGTCATCAGCGCATCTTAGACCATAGGCGTCGTCGGGTCTACTTTAGAAGTGTCAAAAAGATCCCATGGACCTCAGATAGATAGCCGTAGAAGTTCAATAATTCACTTACTGATTATATAGGACACTAGTTAAATTAGGCGAGAGCACACACAGCTTATGGGCGTGTATTTCACCCCCCCCCTCACCACCTTCACTGCGTCTATGACAACAGATAAACGTAGATTTTATCATATGATACTTTTACGATTATAAATTTCCTACGAAAATTTGTCCTATAAAAACACTAAAACCTCAATAAAAATATTGAGGGTCACTTATCGGGATAAAAACTATCCTTTCTGTCAAGTTGAAGCAAGGAATACATAATTTAATTAAAATCGATTAAACCGTTTCTCAGATTTTCGTGAAAGAACATCGTGAATAGGGTTTTTATACTATAATGCTTGCTAAAAGCTAGCTGGTACCCGGCGCGTTGCTACCGCAGAAGAAGTGATTGTGGAAATATCATTTTAAATTTGGAAGAGTTGTATTTGTTAGTTAGGAATGATAATACATTCATTGAAATTATATGATATATAGCACATAAAATACGAACAAATAACAATTAATTTTCAACCGACTACATAAAACGGAGGAGGTTCTCAATTCGACTGTATTTTTTGTGTTACTTCAGAACTTTTTTCTAGGTAAACCAATTTTGAAGATTCTTTTTATCTAAAAGCTGGTACTTCTCAAATGGTCCCATATAAATTTGATCAAGATCTGACCAGTAGTTTTTGAGTTATCCTTAATAATGCTTATTTAATTGAATTCGACTCCATTGATGATTTTCTTATTTTATTTATATTGAATTTGGTTGCACAAAATTTTTCTATTTTACCACTTGTTATATATTATATTAGATTAGATAGAAGATACTCGATGTTTAATTTCAATTTACTTCCCCCTCATGGTTTAGAAGGGAAGTAAATCGAAATTAGTTTGTTCGTGCGGAAGCGTTACGAAAGAAATTGATATAATTTACTTAAGTGCCTCATACCAATCCCAATATTATTGACCCAGTTTATATAGTTATTAGCTATAATCTACGTATCTAATTTCACTCTATAATATAATAAAAGTCAATTGTGGCCGTCAACCCGCATGATAGGGACAAGGCCAAATACGCCGGACCCTTTTTTTCAGACTAGGATTATTTAATTTAATAAACGAATAAGCTATGTGATTTTGTGTCAGATTATACTTATGGCTAGACCAGGAAAAGAGCAGGCTCTCACACAATACTAGCCTAAAATAGCAACGTAATACTACTGTGTTTCGTAAGGTGAGTGCAGAGATCCAGAGACCCTATTTTACTGGAAACGAAACATTCCATCTTAGTCCTCAAATGACCACGTATCTATTTTATAATAATCGAGGATTGATGAAGTTGTTTATGGGCGATAGCATCCGCATATCATCAGGTGGACTATGTGCTCGTTTGTTACCCTGACTTCTATTAAAAATATACAAAAATATATACGCGTCAAATCTGCCTACTTAGCATGGCGCAGATAAAAAATAATTACTGCATGAAAAGCTTTTTTGTTACCATGGAACAGCGACACTCATGAATCATGGCATACACGTGTTACCTTATAAATTGTGTTCACACAAATCACACAAAAATAAAAATAAGCTATTTAAAGCAATAGTATATAGTGTTGCCAGATCAACTTTGTCGCGTCTTTTAAAATTCACAAAAACAAATTATTATCCATATGTTTTCGAAAAGTTAGACGCGCGCGGTGTAGGCCGCTACCGTGTACTGATCGGGTGCCGACCCTCATCCCAATTAATGGAATAGACTATAATGCTCCCACGTAATATTGCTTAGTGCTTTTTAAAAAGTTTTTTTAAGCGCTATCACCGCGCCTACTTTATTTGCTGATAAAAGTTATTAAGACTTAAGGTGAGAAATACTACAGTTACAGAATAAGAAAAGTCCACTGCT